TGTATGATGTATGTATGCAGCGTTGACAATGCAAATCAAATTTTTGCGGTGGCGTGCGTCGACTCGGCATGTGGCGCTACGACGCAATCGCTCTGCGTTGGGCCGCTGTCGCAAGGTAGCGCGTCGACGCACGTCATCGCGAAGTATGAGCGCTGTCTTAGCGATGATGCGCGACAGATTCATAAATATACAGTTGTTCTTGATCTTCGTGAATTTGATTGTTCTCAAATCAGGTGTTCTATACGGAAAAGCAGACGCATATGCAAGTCAATCTGGAGCAATTCATCAGTGTTACAAGGAACTATAGGCAGGAGGTGAAGTCATTTCAGTGGCCTTGTTCGGCTGCATCGCAAAGAGTAGGTCAATTATGTCGACGCTGACAATTCTCTTAGCGGTGCGCCATGCATTCCTGTCAAAGGCAATTCCCGCGGTCAAGAGTGACAGGTAGCAGGTGCTCAGTCATGAACCAGTAGCCCATCAAAAGCTCATCAGTAGAGAAGGAAATGAAAAGAAGTCTGAAAACACCCTGAGCACAGACCCTCCCTAGCAATGGAGCCGGCGCCTTAGACGAGTTCATCATGAGGACAAGCCCAATCAGCAGGATTCTAGGTGCAACCAGTTCCGGCAAGAGCATAGGAAATCGCCCTACGACGCTCCAGGCAACGCTATGTACACACGCGATTCCGTTTGCTAGCCGTTGTCTTGCAGAGTTACAGTACGCGGTTGCACCGGTTGCAAAACTCACGCGTCTCTAGCTTCGTTATCTCGCCATTTCGAGTGACGAAAGTGGTATATTCTCTGCGAGTGCGGACAACGATGCCAAATGCACGGAGGCATTTTGCTGATCACTTGATCGCGGGGAGTGTCTTTGAGTAACCATAATATAATGGAATATAACGCTTTCACACTTGTTCATTTGTTCATTCTTTCGGAATACGGCACGCATTCCACTTCCATTTAGGACTGTAGTGTCTGATCGAATGCTATGCGGCCTATATTATGACCTTACTAGGGCCAGCTCATGAACAAGTCGGTGTTTCTGTGCTCCCAGACGAATCTGTAACAACTTACGGCGCTCTTAGGCTAGAAAGCCTAGGCGAGAGTGATCCTGAATTTTTTTCCTAGAGCATGCTCATGATCACAGGCCGCCGGCCACTATAACTTTTCCGCACACATTGACTTGCTTTCAGTTATTACTTTCGGACGCCGGCACTATTTACCCTTTACTGCCCCAGTCATCCGAAATCAGGCCAGTTCCTGACCGACTTTTTTCTCCGTGGGCAGATTTTGCTCAAATGTTGTCTCCTGGGGTAGTTTGACCTCCAGAATACGAATATCACATTCGCTCAGCCCGAAACTTCCTGGCGCCCGCGCCACAGGCGCCAATGATTTGGGGTATTTTGGCGCCGGTGCCCGTGGTGCGGGCGCCAGGAGGTTTCGGGTCGAGCGGATGTGATATTCGTGTTCAGCTACCCCTGGAGCCAAGTTTTCAGCAAATTCTGCCCACGGAGAAAAAAGTCGGTCAGGAACTGGCCTGATTTCGGATGGCTGGGGCAGTAAAGGGTAAATAGTGCCCGGACGCCTTTCAGCTTATTGGTGGGGGAGGGACATTCTACCCGTTTGCTGGTTCACTTTATTAATACCTGTTGGCCTGCAAAGCTTGTGAATCTGCGAGGGACGAGTCAGCCATTTTGTTTACAAGGATTTACAGGTCTTTACAAGGTAGCCTGTACGAGATTTACTGAGCACCATTTGGTGCCCCCACCAACGCGAACTGCGATGTACTTCAATTCCACCTCGTTCCCATCAGTTAGGCAGAGGTGATGAAGTGAACAGTGGCAAATGCAAAATCAGAGCTCGGCGGTTTCATCTGGCAAGCTAACAATGGGCCTCACGCCCCTGCTTCTGTGCGAGGACATGAAAGCACTAACTTGAACTTCTTTTGACTATTGGCTGAAGTAACTGTATAAGCCAAAAAGGATTCGAAACACTGCGATTTTGAGTGGAAGCAGGGCGCGTGGCGCACCCCGAAAGGATAGATCAATGCCAGAAGCTACTTTTTTCTTTTGTTTTATTTTTGATTCTCTTTTTTTATTCTCTCAGAAAAACTTCTAATCCGCTGCGGACTCCACATCCCGGAGAAGCGGTGGGCGTGTCTGCGTATTTTCTTCTGGATATGGCGTAGGATGGGTTATTCGTCGAATGTTTCGATTCGAGGCAGCTGTCATCTTGTCTTGTACTGGATAAAAACATGATAACAGTTGTCCGGAAATGAAACTATCCGACCGGAAGCGCAGCCACCGCTTTGAGCAAAAGAAGTAGCAACGCCTACCGCATCTCAATCATTTCTTCTGTACGTGCAGGGAAAAGGGAAAGCCGAGCGCGCGCCGCTCCAGGAAAGCGTTACACGGAGCTCCTACCCATATTACACTACTTTCTCTCCATGAAACTCGGATTGAGCGCTTAAAAACTGATGACGTTGGCCAGAATGCTATATGTATTGCGTCATGACTAATACTTAAGATGTATTGGTCGCATTGGATTCCTCAACAGCCGTATACGCCTCATTATAATGTTTCATCGGATCTTCAGGTCGGCCAGTATTCTCAAACTTGGAGCGAAACTTCTATTTCGTAGATAGTGATCGCAGGAAATACAACTGTACCTCAGACCCAAGTGCGGCAGTCGCAAAATGTGGCTTGATGAGTTGAAAAATTTCCACGCGTGTGTAAGTAAGTTACCGGCGGGCAGAAACGGGGGGGGGAGAGGCATTTAATAATACTAAATTGTGAAATGTCAGTTTAGTCTATACAAAATCCACTTAAAACTTCTCGTGGCTCTAATTGGAATGGTGTGTGTTTTCTTGGTGTATTTTGGTGTATTTCCAGGTAGCGGGGGTTCCACAAACAACCCGCTACGCCTGATATTTCAGGAAATATGCAGGTTAGGCTGCGTTTATACTTTGCGGCAGCGTAGCGTAGCGTAGCGTACGCCAGCGGCAGTGCCGGGGAGAGGATGGATATCGATCTAGCGTTCCCAGCGTCACCAGCGTAACGCTAGCGTACGCCAGCGTTTCACCAGCGTTTTGCTAGTGTTTGCAGCGGCAGGGGGGTAGAGACTATGGGAGAGCTGGAGGATACAAAACACAATGCGAAATGCGCGTCTCTCACTCCGCTTCTCAGTCTCTTACTATACACATCAATTGCGCGTCTCTGACGGCCACATAATCTCTACAATACACATCGATTGCGCGTCTCTTACGGCCACATAGTCTCTACTCCCCTGCCGCTGCAAACGCCAGCAAAACGCTGGTGACGCTGGGAACGCTAGATCGATATCCATCCTCTCCCCGGCACTGCCGCTGGCGTACGCTGGAAGCGCTACGCTGCCGCAAAGTATAAACGCAGCCTTAGGAACCTCGCCCCTCCCCCTTAGAATGTGGACGCCTTACTTTTGGCGATTCTATTGATCTAGCGACTTGCCACCGTTATAAATAGCGGGAAGTAACTTATCATAACAGTCACGGGGATAAAATGACTTTCACGTCAGATTGATGGTAGTGACCCGGTTGTGGGCCAAAAGATCCGACTTGCTGCGACCCGCGAAAACTAGACTGATTACTCAGCTGTTTCTGAACTAATAGTTGACTCACAGCAATTAAGCATCATATCAGACCCGTTCTGGTGCAAATGCCAGCCTGCGAGGCTTTTTGCAGCGCCGTCTCCGCCGCTCCGCATGTCGGACCTCCTGACTCGCGCGATAATAGTTCACATACCAGTCGGACCAGTTGTATGTGCTAGATCTAGAAATCGCCAAGACGCCAAATGTCCTTATTCGCCAGGTATGAAGACGATTCCGTGTGTGACGCCATATATCACTGTTTGTCAGGGAAAGGGTCTTGCACTGAAAATCAGGGTGTGGACCAGGAGATCCAACTTGCAGTTGCGTGCCGCGACGCAGACAGTGTCACGTACGCGGCATTCGCAACAAAGCGCAGTAAATGCATTTGACGCGAAAGTAATGCAGCGAACTAGGTCAACTAACTAGGAAATATTGCACGAGTTAGTTTCTCCATCTTATGGCGACTCGGATCTCCCGACCCGCGCCAAAAATTGAGGAGCAGGGGTGGTCTGTTTTTGGTCCTGCTCCTGACCAGTGTATTCTATTTTCAGGTCTTCTCAGACATGGTCTCCAGTGTCACATCACTGGCTGTTCTCACCCCCAGCCAAGTCGGCAATGTTCCTGTAACAGTCGAATCTGGTGCCACCGGATACGTTCTAGTGAGCTATAGAGCTCCTGACTTGGCCAAAGTTGCAAGTGGTACGTAGAGACGTTTCCCTTTCAGACCATTTTTGAAAGAATAGCCATTACATTGAGGGGAAAGTCAGATTTTCAGACGGTGGCAAGCTTTTGGCTCCTGTAGCGACGCTTGGACGATATAGCGCGGTATACAAGTTAAATGGTGGAACAAAGTATGTAGTCTCGGGTATCAACGCCAACGATTACTCAGCGTCCGCGGTGATTCTCAACGGGCTTACTCCCTCGTTTGCGATTGTTAATGAAAGGACCGATGATCAATGGACGGCATTTGCGACGCCAAATACAGGTACCAGCCATTTTTTAGCATTTCTTTGAAAGAACTCTTGGGAATTTCAGAGGCATATTTCACGAAAATCTGATGGGTGGAGCTATGGGCGGGGCTGCACAATATTTCTGCAGCCGCACCTCTTATCTTCGCTGTATAAGGGAGAGAGCGCATCAGTGACTAAGGCGCTATAGTTGCTGGTCTCCGCCCATTTCTCCGCCCATACACACATTGCGGATTGTACCTTTAATCATCTTTCAGCAACTACCAGAGAGAACGGATAGCATAACCTTCTTCTTTCAGCGGTTGGTCCTTCCATTGCTTTCACACTGCCATCGAAATGGAAGATTTCAAATAGTACTGCAAGCTACCGTGTCTCAGTCCGTCCAACTTGTACCTACGGTTATAGTGCGTTCAGCGTTTTCCCGCCAATGAGTCCCGGCACGAATTTCGTTACGGTAAGTGGCACTGCAGCGGCAAATCTTATAAAGGTTGATACATATAAATAATTTCAATCAAATCATTATTTCCCAAACAGAGAATTCTCCCATTTCCTGAGCAGGTGAGAGTGAGAGACGTT